GACTCAGCCAGGTCTGGGCGGAAGTCCTCTGGTATCTTCCAGTGGTCAGCTCCTCCTCTAAAAAGAGAACAGACCATTAGGAGGAGATGGTGGCTGTCACCGCACACCTCCCCCAGACCGCGGCGGCGGTCTCAATCTGTTCATACTGACTCTTCGAGAACTTTGTCCCTGGAGTCCACGTTCTCCCTGTGGCCTTCCAAGAAGACGTCCAAGCCCTAAATCAAACGCCTTGTGTGGGCAGATCTACCTCCAGAGCAAATTCCTTGTCCTGGCTCAAAAAATGACATGTCTCAGATGGTCTGGAATCTGTCCCCGATGAAGGACCTGGCAGTCCGTGGGAGTAAGCGAGTGGGAACTCTGGCCCCCTCCTCGGGTGACAGTGCCACCATGTGCCTGCCCCATCTGCACACTCATGCCACTCGGCTCTTGTCTCCACAGGGCCCAGGCCACCCCAGCTCTGTGTGGACCAGACCCTCGTGCAAAGCCCAGCTTCACTGCAGGTACTTCTTGAAGTCCCTCTGACGCCCTTCGCCCCTGGGCGAGACACAGCGTGTCCCCTGGAGAGCCGGCTCCCTCAGCCCTGGGGATCTGTGGAAATGCCACTTCTGAGGGTGGAGGGTGGCCCACGGGGACAGTTGCCCTGTTGCTCTGGTCCTACGGCTCAGGAACTTGGGGGCCACACTGCACCTAGACCAGGGCCCTCCAGGACTCCAGTGACAGGCTTTCCCTCTGACCCCCGCAGGAAGCAGCAATGGTGAAAACTGCGTTCCCCTGTTCAGGTCACAGATGGACACTGGCCACTGGACCCGGGCTCCCAGCAGGGCCCTGTGCCTGTGCCTCAAGGGTGGCCCTGAACTCATCCTGGACCCCACAGGGGCTGCAGGGTAAGTGATGCCGGCCATCCCCCCCCCCCGCCCCTGTCGCCACGGAGGCCAAAGAGAGAGGAGTGGAGAGGGGCCACCAGTGGCCTTGACTGCGGGGACAGGACCCACTAGGCCTGGCCATTGGTGCTGTCCACACAGCTCTCAGCCTGGACAGTGTCCACCTGCAGGGGCAGTAGGGAGGAGTGGGCTTTTCTTGGAAACCCTCTGCATTCCCCTTCCCGTCCACACCACCCGGCGGCCCCTACCTGCCACTCTGCCCTGACCAGTGGGTCTGCCTTCCCAGACTGACCACCATGTGTCACCCTCAGCCAGTCTCCTGTGATGCAGGTGTGGTCCCTGTCACACTGGCCTGGCCACAGAGTGGCTTTTCAGTCTGACAGCCTTCCCACCAGGGCAGACCTGACCGGCGGGTGCGGCTGGACTGGCACATGTCCCAGAGAAGTGCCTCCTACAGCACGGGGTGGGAAGCAGGCCGGGCCTGGCACCAGCCTGCCCCCCTTGAGCCTTCCTGGACTTGGGGCTGCGGGAGCTGAGGTGAAGGACAGGAGGGGGCAGGCCTGCGGGCTGCTGGGTGGCTGTCGAGGACCACAGGGCCTGAGGCCTGGCCTGCAGCTGCCCCTGCACATGGAGCTGGGGTTTACCAGCACAGATTCACCCAGCACCTTCCAAGAGGTCGACCCCAGGGGAGGCCCATCAGCTGTCACTCAGCCCCACGCTGTCTTGCTCTGCAGCGACCGGGAAGACGCAGAGCAGGAGAGAGTGCTGAGCGGCTGTGCTGCAGGGAGAGGCTGGCGGGAGACACAGGCACACAACTGCTGCTGGGAGACGCCAACACCCATGAGGCACCCCAGCTGGACGGCAGACAAGCGAGACAAGCCAAAGCCACAGCCCACCAGGATTGAGCGGCCATCCATGCGCGGCGTGTCCCACGTCTCCTGCCTGCCTTACCCAGAAGCCCAGGGCATGCTCAGTACCAGTGGCACAACCCCCTTCAGAAGTTCACCCCTCTCGCCCCTGCCAGGCTCTCCCCACAGTGCCTACTGCAGCAGGCCAAGCAGACCCCTACGGGACCTCCAGCAGGAACAGGGGCATCCTCCCTGCCACACCCTGCAGAGCGGTCTGGAGAAGAGGCTCCCTGTGCCCGGAGCACAGTGCTTCCCAGCTGGGGGCTACTCTCCTGAGGATGCCAAGTTGCCCGGCCTGCTGGTGTCCCCAGGGGCCCCACGCAGTCCAGCCCTGTTGCTTGAAGTGCCAATCAAGATGGAAAATGACTCTGGGTCTGAGGATGCAGTGGACATCTGCACCCCCAGCCAGGTGTGGCTGGGAGCCAGCAACATGGCCAAGAGACAGCTGGTCACTTTTCCTACCAGGATGCACCTGAAGACAGAGTTGGACTGCAGGCACCAGGTCCACCCCCCGCACCTCGTGCATGGTGTGGTAGGGGCTCACCCCCACAGCCAGGCCACCACTGAAGCCAGCAGGGAACTTGTTCCCTTCTTCCCTTCACCCTGCGCCTGCCTGGAGCCAGAGCCTCCCCTCCACCTCTGCACACCCAGCTGCCCCGAGCACCAGCACCTGGCTCGGGGCTGTGACTGCAGAGCTCCCAGGGCTGCTGCTGTGGTCAAGCGCGAGCCCCTGGACTCGCCCCCCTGGGCTGCTGCTCCCGGCCAGGGAGCCGTGCCCAGGTTGTTTCCCAAAAGCACCTCAGCCTTCCTGCCCTAACTGTGGCTCTCCAGCAGGCCAGTCTGTCCACACTCAGTCCACCCTGGCTGCCTCCCCCAGGTGGTGGGTGTGACTGGAGCCAATTCAAGTGATGCTCTTGACAGTGCTGCCCCGGGCACCTCCAGCCCAGGGTGGTGCCTGTGCTGCAGGGCATTCTGGAGTTTGTGAAGTTTCCCAGGAAATCATACATGCCCGCTGGAGTCTATTCAAGCAGGATGGTGTTTCTCTTTGAGAAGTCAAAATGTGTCAGGGAAGGGCCAACATCCCTTGCCCCCAAGGCCACCATCAGAAGCTTCCAGTGATGTCTCATGGCCTCCTGAGCTCCCACCCCTGCCACCTCCTGTCTGGGTGGACATCTGAGGCACACAGACTACATGTGCAGCAGGCCTCACTGCGGGAGGCTGAGCCCAGCCACGGGCAGGATGTGGAGGTTGTGGGCACCAGGTCCTCTGCAACTCCAAGCCAGGGCTCCAGGCCACGCCTGGCATGGAGGAGGATGGGTCCCTTCCAGGAACCTCCCAGTGTTCTCTGCGGGGCCCTGAGGTCCGTCGACTCCTCAGGCCTGGGCGTCTGGCAGTACCCACGCAGCCAGCCTGGGAGGCGCAGGCAGGCTGAGGAAGTGGTGCCCTCCAGGGTGTCCAGTGTGCCTAGATGCTGCAGCCAGCTTGAGGACTCGTGTGGTGTCCACTCGTTTTGCCTGTGTGGCCCCCTCTTCCTTAGGGACCACTGGCCCTCTGAAGGCCTGCCCTGGATCTGGGAGTGCTAACGTCTGCTGGGCGTGCTCCCAGGCTCCACCTCCCAGGTGTCCTCATTGGTGGCCTGGGGTCAGTATTCAGCTCCGGTTTAGAGCAGGGGCTGTTGGGATGCACATCTCCTTTGTCAAAACTCGGGTTTGTTCTGCAAGATGGGTCTCCTGCCCAGCCCCTGGTCTACCTGGTGTGTCAGGAGAATTCGCCTGGGGCAGGAATGGGGCTGAGAGTGTCCCACTCACCCACCTGAGCCAGGGTGGAGAGTGGCCACTTACAGCCTCTCCCTCTCTGCCCAGCCCTCAGCGGCCTTTCAAAAGGTGACATGGGTGCTGCTCTGTCCTGGCAACTGGAGGACTCCTGGCCTCCACTCCTGCCACCTGGCACAGAAGTCAGGACGGGGAGCCCAGCTTCTGCTTCCCTGCTCAGTCCACTGGCCCAGTGTCCCCGTGTTACCCAGTTCTGCCCAACACAGCTTACCCCTGCTCTCTGGGAACTTATGGATCTAGTCTTAAGAGTAGAAGTAGATCCAGAATTTTCACTTTCTTCTCTCACCAAATGCCCAGCTCCTGACTGTGGAGATCCCTTTCCCATCAAGGTGACAGAATGCTCCCGTCCATGGCCATGCCACCCTTGCCTGCCCAGAGGGCTTGGCCCAGCCAGGTCCTCCCCATCTCCCCGCCCTTCACCTGAGGGCTGCTTGCCTCCCAGAGAGGAGCCAGCTCTTCCCCTGCCAGGGCTGACAGAGGGCAGAGAGCAGACAGTCAACACCTCCTGTGTCCTAGAGCCAGGGAAACCTGAAACAGTGAGATCAGGAAGATGGAGCGAGGGATGTCTCACGTTTGCCAACAGTAGCCAGACACCCCTTCTCCCCTGCACCATGTACCTACCAAGAGCTGCAGATGCCCGAGGCCTGGACATCCCTGCGCAGAGGGCCATTCGACCCATGTTCCCTCTGAGAGGACCAACAGAAGTCAGGCGAGGGCCACCTGGAAGGCCATGCTTTGTGGACAGAGCTCAGCATCCACTCCTCCACTCTGCAGGCTTGATATGTGGGGACACCCACGTGTGCTGTGGACCTTGGATATGTGGGGCCCACGCCGTGCCTGGGCAGCACCTCCCCCTGCCCTCCAGTCAGAAGTTTTATAGCTCAGTCACCACGTGCCTCCTGAGAACCGGTGAGGGTGTGTGACACTGAGACGCAGATGAAACGTCCTCAGAACCTAGAGTGCCTGGCCACTCCTTCATGTTCGCCACGCTTTGCGGTGCACTTTGTGCTGCCCAGGGCCTCCAGAGCGCTCAGCCATGTCTCACACACTGCCTCTGTCACACTTTTGCAAAATCTATGTAAAAAGTTGCAGGTGCATGTGCGTCCAGTGTCAGTGGAGCCTACATTTCCAGACAGAGTCCCTGTTTCCTGCCACAAAGGGGTTGAGTTGACAGTGGCACCCTCCCCAGGTGGAAACGCTGGAGTGAAGGGCACAGGAAACACCGCACCCTCACCAGGCCCTCCCCTGCGTCCCTGAGGGTTGGGGACCCTCTGGGGCCTCAGACCCCCAGACTTGGGCTGTCCTGTAAGGGCAGAGCTGAGGGACCCTGTCACAGGACATGAGTGACAGGTGTGTGGGAGGGGCAGGGACCTAGGAGCTGGGCTTTCCCTCCCTCTGGTCCAAGAGCACCCCTGAGTGAAGAGTTTCCAGACCCCTGGGCAGAGTGGTGGTCACCACAGGCCTCACCACCTCTCCCCCAGGAGACTAGCCAGGCCCCTCTGCTGGGATGGCTCGGCCATTTGCAGGACCCCAGGTGCACTTCCACCTTCCCAGCAACGGCCGGTGGACCTGAGGGGTTGCTCCACTGGCCCAGGCGCTGCCCCAGGTGTAGACTGTGGCTGGGAGACAGGGCAACATCCCTTCACCAGGCACCATGGGGCCCCTCCCATGGCAGCACCCTGGCACTGTGGCTTCTGGCGGGTGAGTGGGCAGCCACTTCACAGGCACTTGTCCCTCTCACACATTCTGTTGTCACTGTGGAGCCCCTGCTAAAAACTAGAGGGCCTGTGCCAGGTGCCCGGGATCCATGCAGGAGGAGCACAGGGCCCAGTGCATGGTGTCTGTGGGCAGCTGATGGCAGCCTCAGGAAACACTTGAGCTCTGTGCTGGTGGCAGAGCACGGGCGCTCTAAGACAGAGTGGTGGGGTGGCACGTCCTCACGGGTGGCTGCACGTGGGGAGGCTAGAGCTCAGGGCAGGAGAGGCAGGACTGGGTGTGGGGTGCAGGCCCAGCCTGTGAGCCAGTCTCCCCGGACCAGGGGAGCCACGCTGCCGGGGGCAAAGGCTGGGGGACCCAGGCCTCCCTCCAGCAGGCTGAGAGAGGCAGGGTCCTGGCCTCTCCACCCGGGGCTGTGTCCCCCCACCCTTGTCACGCTTGGGTCACTTGCAGTGTCATTCTCCCACACAGCAATCTCTGCTCAGTTACAAACACCCAACCTTTTCTCTCTGCTCTACCTTGTCTTTTCATTGGGGGTATTTTCCTCATATCATACAGCCATTTAGCATTTCCACACAGAATTTGGTGTCTTCGTGGCTTTCTGTGTCTTTGTTACTGTCTCTGGCTGTGGCTTCTGACAGAACCCACGCTGTCTGATGTTAACGTCACCCCGAAAACCTCCTCAGGCCTTACTGGCTGGCATGCCAAAGCCCCTTCGCTCCGAGCCCGTTCTTCATGTGTACATACCCGTTTCACTGTCTTTGACCCATTAACCTATGACCTACGTCCAGATTATTAATGATTTTGAGCATTTCCCCCTCTGTCAGTTCAATTTCCCTTGACCTGGTCCCCCTTCCTAGCCTTCTCTGGAATCCCTGGCACTCTCCTCCCTCTCCCACCTCCACTTGTTTGGAAGCTGCAATTCTGTCTCCTTAATGGCTATTCCTAACAACATGGGACAAAGCAAGATCTCTGTCCTCCCAGAACCAGCCCCAGACCTCAGACACCTCAGTACTCTCCCTCTGGCTCCCGAGCAGCCCCTGGGGGGTTGAGGAAGCACCAGGAAGCCTCCCTGGCTTTCCTCTGCCCAGGGTGAGGAGGGGAGTCCAAGCTCAGTGCTCTCTGGGCCTTCCCCACTCCTAGTCCAGCAGTCAGGCAGGCCAGGAGGGGGCCCTGGTCCTGCGCTGACGATGCTCCACGGAGGTCACTCCACTGCGGGCGCCAGAGCTCTGCCCGCTCGGCCCTGTGTGGGTACAGAAGCCTAAGCCTGGGTTGTAGGCCATTCACATGCTCACGGGGGGCAGAGCCTCTGCCCAAGCACCCCCTTCTCCATTCTTGTCTCTGCCATGTCTCCTGCGCTTACCCATGACTCAGCTGACTGCACAAGGACACTTGCTGGGTTCACCTCACATCCCTGGGTGGGGAGGTTTCTCTTCTATTTCATCTGCTAAACACCCCAGAAAGTTTTTTTTAACTGCCTTTATGTAGCATTTATTTTAGATAATACTGGATTCTCAACAAGTTTTATTAGACTTTTTCCAACCTGAAGGCAGATTTAAACTATCTCCATCTTGCAATATTCCCAAGAATTAGAGACACGATTACAACCACGTCAGTTCCGGTAAAAAGAAGAAAGAAGGAACATCACATTGTCATGACTTAAAAATTCATAGGCTTGAAGGTCACTGCTGCCCTTGAGAAGAGGGAAGATGATCCCAATCATGGAGGGCTCGGACAGAGGAGGGAACACAGCTCCCACACTCAGCCATTGGTTGTTCATGAACATCAGAAGACCCTTCACGTCTTCTGCTTAAAAAGAAGGGGGGGCTGGCCAATCTGCCTTCCAGGCTCACTTCTGCCTAGAGTCGGGGAAAGCACACAAAGACAAGTGTTTCCTAGGTATCGGCAGACCACAGGCTGGAGGAGTGGGGCTCCAGGCACCGCACCCAGCCATCTTTACAAGATGGTCAGATGCAACATGATGCTCAGCCAGGTGGGTGAAACCACCTGAGCCATGCTGACGCCATGCCAGGGTCCTGTGACCTGCAGGTTCCCACAGCATTTAAAGATGTGTGACAGATTAAACCAAAGTTCACCAGAATTCCTAGCCAGGGTGTCAGACATCAAGTAGAACTTCCTCTTGGTAAGTACCTCCTCCACACCAAGGTGTGCTCTCCATGCAGAGGTTCACCTCAGGACCACAGCGCTCAGGAGGCACTCTCACGGCTTGACAGTGACAAGACGGTCACTTTATGTGGTGTGACACTAGTCTGTGTGCTAAGAGCCAGTTCAGAGACCCTGAGTAAAAACCCAGGCATGCTGAGCCTCGGGTCTAGTAAAAACCAAACACAGGCCCTCAGGGGCTAAGCTGTAGACTGAGCACCTGCTTATTTCCCTAGAGCACATGCCCTCATCCTTCCTGGACAGGCCTCATCAGTGGACAGACCCACCCACCATCTGAGAAATGAGTGTGAAGACTGTTTCCCACCCTAGAGGCAAATGCACAAAAGGAGCGGCACTACTGAGATACAGCTGTGCACGCTCAGGTCCCCACGCTCCCGCAAGGTGCAGCTAAGATCGGCTGAAGCAGGAACACCACACATCGTCAACACTAAGTGCCACGGAAGGAAGAGCAGAGAAGGTGTGTGGGCGTCTCTAATGGTATCTTTCCCTGTCCCCACCCCACGGGCCAATCTCAGTCCATTCCATGTGATTCCAGGTCATGCGTTCTACATGTCCTGCCAGCTGCGGCCGAAGAGGCTAGAGTCCACAGCCTGTAATGGTGGCCAGCTGTACCTTATGTGTTCTGAAGAGAAATGCTGTGGTTAAAGAGGGGTGAGCTGGCTCACAGCAACTCATCACCACCTAGCCACAGTGGCCACACTGTGTCTACTAGAATGTGTCTGCTATTAAAGTGCTGAGGGAGCACCCCGGAGACCATCCAGAGAAGCTGGGCCTCGCCAGCCCAATCCTTGAACACACGACCCACGTGAAGATGGTGTGAGCTGAAACACAAGCACCTCTGTACCTGCAGTAGCCACCACAGCCCTGCTTCACCACAGATGGACGCCAGGTCACGGGGAGTGCTTCTTGCTTGGTACTCTCTCACAAAGAAAACTACATGCCCCAGTAACTGAGTCTCATGCAGGATGGGGACCTCACCAGTGTGGAGTTGGAGCCTCTACAATGAGTGACACAGTCCACCTGTGCCACCCAGAGGGGAGCGGAAGCCTCTTAGCTGTTTAAAGGCATCTGGTGTCAGCACCTCAAAGAAGAGACGTTCTGAAACAACTCTTACAAGAATACCAGGGGCCTGTGGGCTCGTCTTCACGAGTAACCCAGTGTCCATGGCTTCAACCTTCTGCCCTCCTGTGGGGGTAGGTGACGAGATTCATCAACACAACAGCCTCCAGCTGTTCTCTGAGAAGCTTGCGTGATGGAGGTCTTGTCCCTCGGGGAGCTCTTCAGGACAGGCATGGGTCTGAGGGCTTGCTGAATAGCAGCACATGGACTGTCACCCAGGGGCTTTCGGTGGAGGAACCTCGCTGTCCTGCTCTTGTCCCCCTCCACAGAGTGCACAGGCTGCCTCTGACAGCGGCTTCCTACACAGGTGCTAGGAGTCTTCTGCCTTCCAGTCTTTCTCCCCCCAGCATTTTAAGAGTGAATGGGTGCTTGTTTTTTGTTTTTTACTGGATGATCTTTGGGGTCTTGTAACTGCTTTCCTGTTTCCTCTGGCAAATAAGGCATTTGATTGCTATTGAGGACAGAAAACTTGTCCTTTCATTCTGGCTTTCATTCAGCTGTTCAGGTTTTTCTTCCACATCTTTCACTGGCAGTGCTGGCTGTGCTGCATCCTGCTCCTCCCAAGCCTCCGTGCCCTGCTCCCCAGCAGGCCACTGGGACTCCTCCAGCACTGAGGCCTCTGTGGCTTCTGTGAGCACGCACCAGGGTATGGGGCTGACATCGCTGAGAGGCTACAGTGTCCTAGGGCAGTACTGTCACCAGGTGTTCAGAGCCAGGGCGCATGTGCCTGCTCCGGCAGCATGCTGTAGCACTGCGCATACTTCCAGAACAGCTCCTGGTAGTGCTTCATGTACTGGCTCTTTACCCCACTGCCCAGAGGCATGGTGCGGTCTTCCTCAGGGGTCTATTCCAACCCCAGACCTGCAGGAACCCATGACACAGAGAAAGAGTTTTAATTAATATTTTTTGGCAGCAAGGAAGAATTTAAACTTGCAGTAAGACAACCCATCTCTAAGCATCCTGGTTAACTGAGGAAGGTGTGAGAGCTGTAAATCCAAATCCTACCAAACCAAGAGAGAATGGTTATGCACTAAATGTCTGTTTTGAAGTAACTGTCCTAAGGCTTTGGTCATTCTGGCAAATTTTCTCTTAATCTCAAAACATGTTTACAATTATATTTTCAAATATAATAGAGGCATTTTATTTACATTTATTCATTGTTCAACTAGTTGGTGTTTTCTGAAGTTAGTAGATAAAGAAGGTGAAATCATAAAGTGAGGTTAGCTGTCAGCTGGCATGCCACTATGGTGCTGCTGCCTGCTGGTCAGCTGGCACCAGCTGTGGTTGGTAGTTGCGGTGGTTCTTGGGGTACCTCCTCTCCCTGCCATCTTCGGACTCTTCCATTTGAACTACCTTGGCTGGTCTTCAAGAAGTGCCATGCTGTCTAGCAGCTGGTAACACAGTAGAAGATTGCCTCCTGCTGGCAAGTGAAGGCAAGTAGTGTCCCCATCTGCCCAACCAATTCTGAAATCCTGGTGGCTAGCACACACTGTTCCTGCTAAGGGAAGGTGCAGCCCTGGATGGTGGACCTTCCCTCCATGTAGGAACTCAGACCCGCCTGCCTGGTCTCCTGGACTCTGCACAGCTTCCCCAGCTATGTCCTTCCTATAGGCTTCCCTGCCACTCCTGTCGAGGATCAGTGTTGCTTCCAAGACCCAACGACGGTCCTGAAGCTTCCCTGACTCAACCCCACGGTTGCCCCTACTGGGTTTCTCATCTGTTATGTTCCTCCAGGGGCTGAGTTCATTTCTGATTCCAGGAGTAACAGGGCAGTACCCTAAACAGCTGCCCAGTTGTCTCTGGGTGGCAGTCATGACCAATGTGATGAGCTACCATCTGCTACACATGTTGTCTGCCCAGTACCATACACTGGGCTACAGCAAAGGAGACAGCCCTGCCACCGTGAAGTGGGGGCAACAGTGGGACATGAACACATGAAGAAAAAAACAGGACAAAGAGCTGGTGCAGGGGGTAGGCAGGAGGTTAAGGAGAGGAGCTGTGGGCACTGGAGCTGGAGGATGAATCCCGAGAAGCAAGAGGAGTGCGCAAGCCTGTGGGAGCCCTTGCAGACAGCAGGCAGGAGGGCAGCGGGAAGGGCCAGAATGCCGGAGGGGCCGGGTCAGGCCAGCAGCCCCTTCAGCAGTAAACCTGCCCATGTCGGGACTAGTCCTCCTCGGAGCCCAGCGTTCACGCCAGGAAAAGTCGGGAGCGGTGCGCCCACCTCTCCGGAAGGCCGACCCCACCCTGCCGCGGGGATGCGGTCTCTCCGCTCCCAGGCCCTCCCCAGCTGAATCCCCTGGCCAGGGGCCGGCCCCGTGGTCCCGCCATGAGGTCCAGTATCCACGCAGGGTCCCAGCGAGGCCCCGTCCCGAGGTCCTAAGTGGCGCAGGGTCCCCGGCCCGAGGTCCAAACGTCCCAGTCCAGAAGCCCCGCCCCGAGGTCCCCCAGGCCCCTCCCTGAGGCCCCGCCCCGAGGTCCCGTAGGTCCCGCCCCGAGGTCCCCCAGGCCCCTCCCTGAGGCCCCGCCCCGAGGTTCCGCAGTCCGGCCCTGAGGTCCCGCCCCCAAGCCCCACTCAGGCCCCGCCCCGAGGCCGCGCCCCGAGACCCCGCCCCGAGGTCCCGCAGGTCCCACCGGTAGGTAGGGTCCCGTGGTCCCCGCCGGCTCAACCCCCGCGCCCTCCCGGTGGCCCGGGCCCCGCCCCCGGCCTGTCGCCGGAAGCGGAAGTTCCTGCTCCCCGTCCACTTCCGGTCGCCCCAGAGGCGGCGGCGGCGCAGTCCAGGTGAGGCGGGGCGGGGCGGATCGCGCGACCCGGGTTCCTAGCGAGGGATCCCGCCGCTCGCTCGGCCTTGCTCGGTCCCAGGCGTCCGCGGCCACCGGGGCCGGCCGGCAGCTGGGAAGGTGGGCGGCTCTCCGTGGGCGCCCGTCCCCGGGCGGGGCAGGGCTCTGCCTGCCCACAGTGGGAGCCCTGCAGCCGGCGGCCGCGGGCACGCCCGTCGGTGGAGGCGGTTGAGCCCCGGTTGCCACGTGCTCGTTAGGAGCCGCGCGTGGAGACAGTCTGCCCGCGGCTGAGCCGGAGACTTGTGCTGCGGGGACGCGAGCTGTCAGCCTGAGTCCCTTTCCTCACCAGGGCCTGACGCAGCCGCCTACAGCGTGGACAGGGTGTGGGCGAGGGCTCCAGAAATGAGAAGTTGGCCCCGAGCCGGGGAGAGAGGTGCCTGGGAGATGACGTCTGGCTGGGTGAGTGGGCTTGGGCCCTGGTGCAGACATCCCCTGTGTGTCCCTGTCTTGTCGCCGTGAGGGGCCCCGTTTCTCCCTGAAGGTGAAGTTTCCCCACACTTCAGTTCCAAAGGTTTGTGTTCTTGTTAAGGAGTTCGTGACTCCAATTCCACTTTCCGGTTTCCTGGATTGAACGTTCCCTCAAACACTTTCCTGTGGCTCCACTGTGGTCACTGCTGTGGTGGGTACTTTTGGGCCAGCACTTCCTTCTTCTCACACACTCACCTGTCTTGCACACAGGTTCCTTTGGATGTCTACTCGTTGACCATGAAGGAGACAGACAGGGAGGCTGTAGCCACAGCGGTCCAGAGGGTGGCTGGGATGCTCCAGCGCCCAGACCAGCTGGACAAAGTTGAGCAGTATCGCAGGAGGGAGGCTCGCAAGAAGGCCTCTGTGGAGGCCAGACTGAAGGTAGGAGACTTCACTCAGGCATGACTGGGCCATGTGTCTTGAGTTTCTGGTCCTTATTTGACATCATGGTGATTTCACCAAATTAGGTTGTGATGGAAGAGGAGGCAGAGCTGGGCTGAGCAGCTCTTTCCAACAGTGTATTGCCAAAGCAGTCGATTCTCAAAGAGAACTGGAATGTTGCTGGCACCATGGGAGCAACCTTGGTGCCTACCTGAAAGAGTCCATTTAGCTTTTTAAGCATTACCTGGAAAGTGACAACTGCTTGTTTATTTAAAGCTCTCTTGAAGAGTATCAGTAAAGAGAGTTTTGTTTAAATCATTTTAACGCTTAGTATAGTGGACCCACAGCCATTCTGTGGAAAATAGGTAGGCATGAAAGTGACCATGAGCTTGATGTGGTGGTGGCACTGTGGTCCCAGAAGGCAGGAAGTTGAGGCCAGAGGATGACTTGAACCCAGGAGCTTGAGGCCGGCCTGGGCAGCATTGCAGGTTGTCTAAAAAATAGGGGGGATGCTGGGAATGTAGCTCAGTGGTGGAGCACTTACCTGACAGGCATGAGGCTCTGGGTTCCATCCCTAGCACCACAGAAAAGAAAAAATGAGAGACAGGGAAGGAGTCATCCCTTTTCAAGCTGTTTTCTGATTTGGATGGGCTTTCAAGTTAATTGCTCTGTGATGGCAAGGTTTTATTAAAATAAACATTTAGTGTAATTATAAAATGTTAAGACTATGACCTTCTGCAGTTGACTTGCAGCAGAATGTTTTTTGGGATTTTTGAGAGTGACTTTGAGGAAAGTTCATCCTAGCACTGACCTGGCATTGAGTGTTCTCCCTTGAGAACTGAACACTTGCCCAGGGAGCGGTAGGCTTGATGTGGTAGTTGCATCATCAAAGCACCCCACATATTCTGCTCACTAATTGAGACAGTAGTTTTGTACTAATTTAGAAAGTAGTTTGGACTTGCTACATTTTTAGCCTGAATTTTTATCTGTTCTAGAAACTTGTGGGATTAACTGGTGATACTCAGTAGTGACTTGGAACCCTCAAGTGATCATTGTGGCCAAATGTAATTGACACTCCTAGATGACAGCTGCTCCTACCATGGCTGATGCAGCCTGGTCTTTTCCTCACCTCCTGTCCCCCTGCATCTGTTTTCCATGCCCTTTACCTTATGGCTGGCATTGGGGCTGCCTCACAGTGTGGATCTGAGTCTCACCTGTGCAGTCAGTGTCACAAGGTCGCTGTCCTCCAGCTGAATCTGGTCTGGCTGGATGCCCCCCCTCCCAACAATGAAGAAATCTTGAGAATGTTCTCTGCCTTGATAAGCCCTGTCAAGAAATGGAAATGTCCAGGGAGAAAATGGGCTGTGTCCTTTTAAAGATGCATTTGATAACGGCCATGAGCCTGCCTGCCTCTGGTGGCACACAGCATTACAGGCCGAGGGGCTGGCAAGCATGCTGTGAATTGTTTGTAAATGCTGTGTTCCTAGAGAGCAGTGAAAAAAGTGGTCCTGTGAGTTGGGTCCCTGTCAGTTTTAATCCTTTCTCTGGCAGTGGCTGTTCTGGCTCCTTGAATTTGACACTCCTGAAGAAGGTCTGTCCATCAAGAAGCAGCATGGTGGCCATCCCTGGCCTTGCTTACTCCATGGTGTCTCCCTGCAGGCTGCGATCCAGTCACAGTTGGATGGGGTGCGCACAGGCCTGAGCCAGCTCCACAATGCACTGACTGATGTCAAAGACATCCAGCAGTCGCTGGCTGATGTCAGCAAGGACTGGAGGCAGAGCATCAACACAGTCGAGAGTCTCAAGGATGTGAAGGATGCTGTAGCGCAGCACAGCCAGCTGGCTGCAGCTGTGGAGAACCTCAAGAATATCTTCTCAGGTGAGTGGCAGGTGGCGGGATGGTAACCGCCAGAAGGCTCACGAAGGCACCTTTCCACAGCCCACTCCATGGATCTGTCTTTACAGTCTTGAGAATTACTGTCAGACACGAATATGGTCTGATTGGGGAGGGTCCATGTATGCTGGGGGAGAGAGCATGCGCTCTCTGTTGTGCTCATGTTCCTTCTCTGTTTCCTACTTTTGTCTGCTTGTTCCGTCCATTACTGAGAGGAGGTACTGAAGTCTCCAGATGCTGCCACAGAAGACCTGTTTCTCTCTTTGGTTCTGTTAGTGTTTGCTTCATACATTTTGATGGTTTGTTAGTAAATGCAGAATTGCATAAGTGCATAATTGTTATGCAGTTTTACAGTCTCTGTGGAACCTTCTGTGGATATGTGACGGCCTTCCTTTCTTTTGTCAACTTTTGTCTTGAGTTTTTATTAAATCTAAGGTGTGTGGTAATCCTTCAGTTAAATGCCCCTTTCAACCGGTTCTGCTGGTTCTTGTGCTTGGTTTGGTGCAGGCTCTCTGCCTGGGTTGCTGAGACACCTGAGCCTTTGCCTGTCAGCACAGTGACTTCAGATGTCTCTTTAGGCAGTTTGCTTTTAAGTGTTAGTGTTCTTGAAAGTCTGGATTCCAAAAGTAGAAGGACAAGCAGATGAAGGGATAGTACTGGCCCTTTCCACCCCTGGAACTGCTGGAAGATGGGGGTTCCCACCTTCCCACTCGAAACTCTTCAGCAGGAGGAGTTCTGTAGCACGTTGCACCCTTTGTGCCTATTCCCTGGTGATCAGGAGTCCCTTCAGCACTTAGAGCACACAGTCCCCATATTTGGAAGATAGTGCTTTGCCCACCCTGGCTCTTGAGAGGGGCTCAAGTTGCTTCTAGGCACATGCCCAGCCAACTTCTACACAGTGGGTGGAGTGTGGGCAGCATTGCTGTGCTAAGAGCTGAGATTGGCCGAAAATAACCCAATCTACCATCCAGGCCTCCTCGGGGAGTTACTGGCCTTTAGCAGATTCTGGTGTTCAAAATAGTTAGGTCAGATTCTAGGTGGGGCGACAGAGACCTGAGGCTCTTTGCCCTGCTGTCTCACAGAATTCTGCACACAGCCTTGTATGTTTTTAAGGGACCAACTTGTACCTTTTCCCTAGTGCCTGAGATCGTGAGGGAGACCCAGGACCTGATTGAGCAGGGGGCGCTGCTACAGGCCCACCGAAAGCTGATGGACCTGGAGTGCTCCCGAGACGGGCTCATGTGCGAGCAGTACCGCATGGACAGCGGAAACACACGAGACATGACCCTCATCCATGGCTACTTCAGCAGCACACAGGGTCTCTCTGATGAGCTGGCCAAGCAGCTGTGGATGGTGCTGCAGAGGTCACTGGTTACTGTCCGCCGGGACCCCACCTTGCTGGTCTCTGTGGTCAGGATCATCGAAAGGGAAGAAAAAATTGACAGACGTATACTTGACCGAAAAAAGCAAACTGGCTTTGTTCCTCCTGGGAGGCCCAAAAATTGGAAAGAGAAGATGTTCTCCATCTTGGACAGGACTGTGACAACTAGAATCGAGGGCACACAGGCAGACACCAGGGAGTCGGACAAGATGTGGCTCGTGCGCCACCTGGAGATCATAAGGAAGTATGTCCTGGATGACCTTTTGGTCGCCAAGAACCTGATGGTGCAGTGCTTCCCTCCCCACTATGAGATCTTTAAAAACCTCCTGAGAATGTACCACCAGGCCCTGAGCACAAGGATGCAGGAGCTGGCGTCAGAGGACCTCGAGGCCAGCGAGATTGTGAGCCTCCTGACGTGGGTCTTAAACACCTACACCAGGTAGAGCCTGATGCGTTCTTTTGCCTAGAAACCTGTGTGAGAATGTGTGGAGACACCTGTAGGTCTCCTGGGTGGTTTCCTGGGTGAGGCTTGGTGTCCTCGCTATCTAAAGGCTTGTAAAGGGCCCCCTGGCCTACCCAGAGAGGCTTGGCCTGGAGCATGCTGGCTGTGGTCTGAATGTCCTGTCTTTGGGTGTCTGGGTTCCATGTGAGCACCCCAGCATGCACTTGGTTTTCTGTGCCCACTGTGTCTGGACATGCTTCCTCCCTGTGGCACCCACTGGCAGGTTGCTGCTGCCTAGCTTTTCAGGTGGGAGCATGTGACCCTATGATCTGCAATCACTGGGCAGGTGAGGAGACCACCAGATTTTTGTTTCTTCTCACCCATACAGTGTAGCAGTTAACCTAAAAATTGGCAGTCATAAGTTAGCCACAGTGGTACATGCCTGTCATGCCAGCACTGAAGGGTCACCTGAGCCCAGGACTTCAAGACCAGCCTGGGCAACAAGGGAGACCTGTCTCTGAATAAATAAACAGATAGCTGGCTATAGGCATGTACAGTTCTAGAAAAATGGGCACTCCTTTTACTTTTCAGCGTGGGACTTTGTTGTGCACATGAGGGAACGCAAGCCAGGTGGTGTGCAGAATGGTGTGAGATGGCATCTGCAAGCAGTGGTGGGGGTGGTCTGAGTCCTTGGAGATTGGGGAGCCAAGGGTAATGCTCTGTGACTTTGCATGGCTTCATGGACAGAAGCAGCATTTAGTAATGTGCGTGGATATGTGGCTTGACTTTTGCCCTTGTGGTTGCTGCTGGAGAAGAATTAAGGAAACCTTCCTGTTTATCAGCGAAGCTTATTCTCATGTGTGCCATGGTTCCCTGGTAGCTGCTTGTGGTAGTCTGTGCCCTTCAGCACAGAGGTGTGAGAAAAATATCAGCCACCCCTGGGAATCAGTGTCTGTCAGCTTCACCGAGTAGTCCTGCACCTCCTTCCTCCTCTGGTCCCCACCATAGCCATGATGTGTCATAGTCACCCATTCTCTGTCCTTTACCCAGCATAGTCTTGGCCTCAATGCACTGTGTGCTCCAGCAGCCCATGAGGCAGGGGGTGTTGTGATCCCCTTCCATGGTACGTGAGGACACTGAGGTGCAGAGGGAGTAGTGTGCCCCTTTGCATGGCCAGCAGGTAAGCAGCAGTCATCACAGCTGGGGTCAGGCCCTCCCTACCTCTCGCCACTGAAAGGTGCACTTAGGGGGCTTACTCAGTTTTGTGTCTTGTCTTTGTTTCTCCCTAACACACTGAAGCATCTCCTGTCCTTGGGAGTGTTCTCCAACCTGGCCACATGTGTCCCATCGGACTGTCCTGGAGAAGTCATGCTGAACACACTTGTGCGCTGCAGCAGGGGTTTTGGTGCAAAAACCCCTCAGCTGAAAAAGTGTCAGTTCTTGTAGAACCTCACAAAGCACGTTCTCACCCGAGAGATCCTGAACTTGTGTAGAGAGTGGACTAGTGTTAGTAACTGCTCAGCACTGTTCTGAACACCTGGAGAACATGGCACCAGGGCCTGTGAATTTTCTGAGCGCTCAGACCTTGACTTGTAAGACCCCTGCACATGAACAAGTAGTAAGTGTCCCCTTAGAAAGCCTCCCTGGGACGTGGCTTGTCTCCATGTATTCTGCATGGCCAGCTGTAGCTTTTCTCTCTTGCTGGCTTGTTTTGTCAGAAGTGCCAAGTGTCCCATGCCCTGGACTGCGCCCTCCTGCAGACATTAGTGACTCTAACTCTGGGGGCTTCTGTGCTCGTGCTCTCAGGTTGCAGTTCTTGCTCGTTGTCTTCTTACAGAATGAATGTGACCATCAGCAGCCCACTTGGCTAGTCCTGCTCTCAGATCCTGAGACACAGTGAAGGGAGCAGAGGATCTCACCTTCCAAGGGCTTTTTCATACTCTGAGCCTTGATACAACTGCAGCTGGCACAGTGGGATGAGGTCAGGGTCAGGTGACTTACATGGCCAACACAACCAGTGAGATGACATCATGGAGGGACCCTGCGTCCCTGAACTCCTTGCCTACAGTCTCCACAAGGCCCTCTGCTTTTTCCCCCAAGTTGTGGACCTTGGCCACGTGAAGGTCTTTAGGGCGAGCGCGTATTTCCATGGGAACCAGACACACACTCACTTGAGAATGTTTTCTGTGTCCCTTATTCATCTGTCACTTGCGGTTCTTACTATAGTGTGGAGATGATGGGGAACATGGAGCTGGCCCCAGAAGTGGATGTACACTCTCTGGAGCCGTTACTTTCTCCGAACGTGGTCTCTGAGCTGCTCGACACATACATGTCAACACTCACTGTGAGTAAAGTCTGGCCTGCAGTCCTAGAAACTGTCTTGGTGGCCACCTGTGAACTTGGGAAGAGAAGGGTAGCCTTTCATGGCCTGTGACTGTGCCTGTCTGGGGTGCCTGTCCTGTGGACACAGGAGCCTCTTCTGCGGGAGCAGCCCATGCCATCCCAGTCAGACTTCCATGTCCAGATGGCTGTAGTGGTGCTGCCAGGTTCTTAGTGCTGATTCCTGGCTTGGGTAGCAGTTGGGGTCCAAAGAACGGGTCTGACTGCAGCTTCATGACCATTGGCCAGTCTCAGTAAGATGGGACGTCAGGATGTGCCTGGGCAACACAAAGCTGTGCTGAGTCTCATGGAGGTTCCCTGGGGCAGAGAGTCTTCTGCTGTATCCTGAGCTGGCCTGGTTGCTGTGTTGGGTTTAAGTGATTTGAGCTTGACCACGTGCCTGCCTGCCTGTCTCTGGTCTTCTGACAAGTCTGGCCTTGTCTTCCAGCACAGTGCTCATCCATGAGGTCCCTGGTCCATTCTCCCTCTGTACTTGCAACAAGGGTTTTGGTCTACCCACAGACACTGGTGTGGCTACTGCACGCCCTACCACTAGGGCCACTGGAGAGGGATCTTTGGGGGCCTCTGCGTGGAAGCAGGGGTTTCCTGATGTGCTGCATATAGCCTATGCAATAGCTACACATGGCTGCAGGGGATCCTTGGACATAACTACCCACTCCAACCTTCCCTTCTCTTCATGATGCCAAACCTCTAGTCCAACATCATTGCCTGGCTGCGGAAAGCACTAGAAACAGACAGAAAAGACTGGAGCAAAGAGACAGAGCCTGAGGCTGACCAAGATGGGTACTACCAGACAACACTTCCTGCCATTGTCTTCCAGGTACAAGCCATAGGCTCCATAGACTGTTTCTTGGGTGGCTAGAAGGGTTGTGGGTCTCACCAGTGGAGGCAGAGCTTAGTAAAGATGTTGAGAACCCTTAATGTCCGTCTCTGGAGTTAGGATCCAGGATCTGACCTGCCAAGTAGTCTTGCCCATGGTACCTAGGTTTTCCTGTGAAGGCTTTTGGGGTTTGAACTGGACCTAATTTTGTGTTAGTTGTATGTAGCTCTCCCGTTCTGAGTTTGCTTGTTTAAATATCCAGGATTTGTCTTCAAGTGCCACATGATTGAATTTAATCTGGGGAGTTTGGAGGAGGCCTACAGCAATAAAGATGCTTTCCTGTTCATGAGTCAGAGTGCTTGGTGTTAGACTCACCTGTGTCCTTACCATTAACTCACTTTCTGATGCCCGGCCCCCAAGCTGTGTCTTCTAGTTCCTCCTCTCCTCTCAAGGCAGGAGTGGGCTGGAATTGTGCCTGGGAGGATGGTGTTGCCTAGTGATGGGGTGGTGGTTGGGGTTCTACCTTGCCTTTCTTTTGGAAACTGACATTCTGGCACATGGATCATGACCAGAGCCTTGCGCGCACTCTGGGCACCTTGCACTTCTCCGTCTCTCAGAGCCCAGCTCTCCTAGCTCTAGCATGGCCACCTCCTGATTCTTAAGAAACCTTCATTCCAACACCCTTAAAAGTGGGTGAGCATGAATCACTTTGAGCTGCAATGTGAGAGCTAGGACACTGACTTCCAGCCCAGCACCTGGGATCCACATGGCCCAGTCTCTTGACCTCCTGGCCCCACTCCCTGTCAGCCCTCTTCACATCCTAGTAGATGCAGTGGGAGAACTTGCATTCCTCCATAGAAACCAATCCGCAGGTCCCAACTTGGCTTGGTGCCTAAAAGAAAGTTGTTTGTTTAAGTAACTTTATTTTCCTAGTGGTTCTCTAATTTGGACTATCCTAGCAGATGGGTTTTATAAATGGGGACTGTGTACATCATACTCCTATGAGATTGTTACTAGAATTCACAAGTTCTCCAATTTTTAGATGTTTGAACAGAATCTTCAAGTTGCTGCTCAGATAAGTGAAGATTTGAAAACAAAAGTACTAGTTTTGTGTCTTCAGCAAATGAATTCTTTCCTGAGTAGGTATGTATTTCTGCCAGTATGCTAATTCTTATAAACTGTATTTTTAAAATTTAAAAGCAAAAATGCATTGATTGTAATATGCTGTTGTTAAAATTAACTTAAGCCTCAAGATTCCCATAAGTCATTTTCTATTTTACTGAGAAATGCAAAAATGTGGGGTGTGGTTGTGGCTCTGTGATAGAGCACTTGCCTAGCATGTGTGAGGCACTGGATTGGACTCTCAGCACCACATATAAATAAATAAAATAAAGGTCCATCAATGGCTAAAAAATTATTTTAATTAAAAAAAAAAAAAGGCAAAAAAGCATTGCAGGTTTTCTCCTAATGTTCCTTGGAATGGACCACACCGTTCATCAATGGCTAAAAAATTTTTTTAATTAAAAAAAAAAAAAGGCAAAAAAGCATTGCAGGTTTTCTCCTAATGTTCCTTGGAATGGACCACACCGTTCCCTTGGGATCCTGGACCTGATGAGCACTGTAGCCAGTTGTGCTGGCAGAGTCCGGGTGAGTGTCTCCCCTAAACATTGGTGTTACCAGCCCTCAGCAGATGGGACTCAAAGTGATCTTAGTGTGCCTCTTCCTCCTTCATCTGTTCTCGATGAAGATCTTTAAACCTAGACAGAAGAAGGGATGGCATTAAGTCTGTGTGTACCATTATCCTGGCTCAAAAAGCTGTTCCTTCCACACCACTCCACCTGATCTGTTCCTCTTCCCCAGCCCTCCCCCCATCTTCCCCCTCTCCCCTTTTCCTTCATCTTTCTCTCTGTTGCCCAAACATTGCAGCTGGTCGTGTCCTGTATTTTCAGCTGTAACCATATATGTCACCAGCTCACATATAGAAGGGCTCAGCTGACAGTGTTGGCGCTTCCTCTTATCTCAGTGGCTGGGCTAGCAGTCTGCATGGCGTATGGTCTTTGGGATTCTTAGGTCTCTGGGACACTAGGGCTGCCCTTTAGGCACTGGCCTGTGGAAGAGACAGACAGATCACAATCCCATAACATCTGTCTGTGGGTTCATCAGCCTCGTTCCTGCGCTGCTGTTTGCACTTGGACCAGGAGTCAGCTTCAGAGACTTGACTTGGTTCCCTCTTTATTACTGTTATGTGCACCCCATGTTATAGTTTAGTGGACTCACATCTGTCCATGCACCCACAAGGGTACAGTCTAGCTCCCCAATTGTGCACCCATGGGGCTATGGACCAGCTTCCCATCATGGACCCATGGGGCCATGGCTGAAGCACCAGTTCAATTGTGGGGTCTTCTGGGAAGAGGAATTTCCCCTGACCAGTTTCATCTGGTTGGTTCTGGAGTCACATGTGGACAGAAGGGCAGAGCAAGCAGATGCTTACCTCTTATGGTGAAGCCTGTGGTGTCTCAGTTCTTGACATTTCAAAATCTTAAGTTTTTTCTTGTTATTGTTCGTGGTGCCAAGGATTGAATCCAGGTGCTCAACCGCTGAGCTATGCCCCAGTCCTTATATTTTGAGACACAGTCTCACAGGTGCCCAAGCTGGCCTTGACCTTGCGATTCCTCCTGTTTTAGCTTCCTGAGTCAACTCAGTGGGATTACAGGCCTGTGCCACCTTGCCCAGTTTGAAGTTCTTTTTTAATTTGATTTTTAAATTAAGGTAGCACTTTGAAAAGGGACATTTTACCTAGCACTTGATGTTTTTCTGATTACTTATAATTATGTATTTCACAACATCTTCATGATCAGGACCTGAACCAGATCACAAAACCTGACATAAAATTGTTTTTTAATATTCACTTGAAGCAGACAACTTTTTTCATTCATATGACCACCCAAGACCCATCTTGGTGCTGTTGGGCGTGAGGTCAGCATGGTCCTGGAAGCAGCTGTAGGGAACCTTTACTAATACTGTCGTGTGGTTCCCAGATATAAGGATGAAGCCCAGCTGTACAAGGAGGAGCACCTGAAGAACCGGCAGCACCCACACTGCTATGTCCAGTACATGATCGCCATCATCAACAACTGCCAGACCTTCAAGTAAGCGGTGTGTGGAACAGGGAGGAGAGTGAGCACACATGGCTACATCCCTGAACCCAAACCTCTTCGTTGCAGAGAGTCCATTGTCAGCCTGAAAAGGAAGTATTTAAAGGGTGAAGCAGAGGAGAGTGTGTGTCTGAGCCAGCCAAGCATGGATGGGATTCTAGACACCATTGCCAAGGAAGGCTGTGGCAGCCTGCTGGAAGAAGTCTTCTTGGACCTGGAGGTGGGCCTGGTTCCTGCTTCCTGGGCTGGGTAGAAGGCCTCTGTGCTGCCCCAGGGGTGGGGGTTCTGGCTCCTCCCTGCATTCCTGGGCAGGTCACAAGGGTCTCCATTCTGCCCTTTGGAACATACTACCTCCTGCCCAGTGTGGGTGCTGTACAGGACCTGAGCTATACCCCGATGTCTGCATTAAACCAGAGTGAGGGGCCTCCGGGGCTCCTGCTTACTTTGGATGACATGGGGTCCGTCTTAGGCACATCTGTGGAGACTCCCACTAAAGTTGAGGCATCAAGCTGCATGTGAGTTAAGAGAGAGCAAGTGTGAAGAGACCATCCCCAAAGCACAGTGAGAGCACGTGCACAGCCTGGCTCTGGGGTGAAGAGTGACGTGCGCCAGCAAAACTTACAGAGTGAATTTTGCCGTGAAAGGCATAGCACAGGCATGGCCCGGTGTTCCTGGGAGGCACTGGCAGAAACCCCTGTGCCTGCTAAAAGTGAAGCTGGGCATTACAGGTCCTGCTGGGAAGGGAGTATTACCCGAGGTTGTACAGCAGTGGAAAGGCACTGGCAGGCATCCAGGGCTGAGGAGGCATGCCCCGGCAGCCCTGGGCCATACTTTAAAAAGGAGGAGGGGTTTACCTCTGAGACAATTTTAAAATGTCAAAAAGAGACATAAAAATAAACAAAGGACACAAATGATACAAAGGCATGAGGGTCCTCAGTGTGAAGCAGTGCCCAGTCCTGACCGCCAGGGAGGCACAGCTGAGGGTCGGATTGGTAGTCCTTGGAGGGCTGTTTGATTTGCATACATTTGAGTGAGGAGTTCTACTCAAGAAATTGGATGTGTAAATTGTGCATTTGTTGTAGTGTTATTTGTAATTGCAGATGTTCATCAGCAGAGACTTGGGTGGGTACATGATAGGGTCAGTGTCCACACAACAAGTGTGTGTACCCTAAAATGCAGTGTGCGTGCAGGTACTTGTGCCTCTCACATGTGGTTCCATGATATCACAAGGTTGTGTAACATAGACTCCTGTTTTTAAGTACAGGTGTGCAGATTACACAGAAGTAGATATTTTACCTGACCATGTATTGCTGCTGTAATCAAAAGACAAAACCCTCCCAAATCACATGACCCCAGGCATTTTGTGGGCTAGGATTTCTGTGACCTGTCTCTGCTTTTCAGCAACATCTGAATGAACTAATGACAAAGAAGTGGCTGTTGGGGTCGAACGCTGTGGACATCATCTGTGTCACTGTGGAAGACTATTTTAACGATTTTGCCAAAATCAAAAAGCCTTACAAAAAGGTAAGGATGTGGGAGGGCTTATCTCAAGTCTGGTTAATCTGGGGAGGGAGGCGGCATAGTGTATGCACAGTGGTCTTTTATGCCTTTTCCTTGTCCACTTCCTGATTTTAAAGGAAAATCTTCTGGCTCTTTGTCATTAAGAGTGGTCCTTACAGCCAGGTGCAGTGGCAATGCCTATAATCCCCACAACTCAGAGCCTGAGGCAAGAGGATCACTAGTTCCAAGGTGGTCTCAGCAACTTAGGAAGACTCCCTCTCAAAACCAGTGAGAAAGGACTAGGAATGTAGCTTGGTGGTAAAATGCCCCAGGTTCAGTTCCTAGAACCAAACAAGCCCCAGAAGTGATTTGAACAGGGAGACTATGTGCTTCAAACTGACCAAGCTAACTTGGCCGTCCTTGTTGGCTGTTGGGAGATCTGCTAGAAGTTGGCGAGGCCCTTGTGTCCACACCTCATCTCTGTGCCTGTTGTTAAGAGCATCGAAGGCCAGTATGTGTTTGCAATGGGCAAAAGACAGCTCCAGGCTCCACAGCTTTTTTCTCAGCCAAAGCAGGGACATGAGACAGTTCTGATGAGGCCAGTCCTCAACAACAGCAGGGACACCAGGACTCAAGTGCCACTCCAACAGCTTATGGGTAGAGCCTACACACCCTTGATCTCGGCCTCCGACACCCACAGTGAGCCTCATGATGAGGGTGGGACCTTCTGGACTCGGAGCCCTCATGCTCGGTGCCCTGCTGTGGGTGAGAGTCACCTGTACACCATGGGGCACAACACTGTTTTCAGAAAGGGATACAGCCCAAGTGGAAAGAGAGAGCTGCAGTCTCCTGGCCGGGGGAGGGAGGGACTCCAGAGAGGCTGTGTGTGGGTGTATGTGCGTATGCTAATTACAAGTGCAGGTGCACATTTGCCATTCCTGTATGTGGTATGTGTGTCATACACGTATGTATTGCACATATGTATACACACCTGTGTACTTATTCATGCGCAATGCATGTGTGCTATGTGTAGGACGTGGAGGCATGTGTGTTTGTTTACACAAGTGTTTTATGTGTATGCTTATGGTGGCATATGTATTGTGTGTATTGCATGTGTGCATGTTGAGCATGTTATATTGCATGTGTTTTGTGTATGCATGCATGCATAGGTAGTTTTATATGTGAATTGTACACTTGTATATTTTGTGTGCTGTGTACACATTCATGTGCATGTTGTGTGTGTTGTTGCACATATATACGTAAACATGCTGTGTGTTGGCCACAAACCGGGCTTTCAACAGAGTTCTCCTGCCTGTCAAGCTTACATTAATTTCTATAAGCCACAGTTACTTTTCAGACTAATCTGGTTGGTTTTAAATCTTTTTGCCCACATGCTTTTGTTCTTTTTCAACATTTGTCGGTATTCTGTCAGTGGGTGTTTGGCACCCTCTCTGACATCCTCAGCCAGTGGTGCATGCATCTGCAGGGCTCTTGGAGCCCTGGGGCCTGAGGGAAGGGGCTGTCCTCCAGGGAGGCTGGTGCTCTCCTGGGCACACTGCCCCCTGCCATGGCTGACAGTATTGTCATAGAGGTTGTACAGCTGAGGGTGACCACTGATGCCTCTCTCCAGGCCTTGTCACCTGTGGCAGGCACTGTCTCTCTGATGAGCCTGACCACCTGTGTTGGGCTTCCAGCCCTCTCCTCCCTGTGATGCCCTAAGTTTTCCTTTATTCATTTGTATCCTTCCTGGGACCCCCAGGTAGCTGTGCCATGTGTCCCAGGGCTCTTCTTTTCTGGGAAGTCCCTGTCATTGTTCAGATGTAGCATTGCTGGGACCAGCACTGACCATGGGACAAGTGCTGCATGTGTGGTCCACACAGGGTCCTACAAATCCTTCTGGCCTATACCCAGGCCTTGCCCCTGCTGAGCCCATGCTCATTTAGGGGGTGAGATACTTGCAGCCCCAAGATTGCTATCAGCCCAGGGAGCATTCATGTTCTGTAACCCCCAAGAGTGCTGTGGGCCTCAAGGAGGGGTCATGTCCAGGGAATCTGGGGAGGGCTGAGGTCAGCAGTGCTGAGCTGGCCTAGCCTCTTGAGCCTGCTTGAACTTGTTCCTGCAGAGACTATTCGTCTCTGGCTATGAGTCAGACGGTGTGGGAAGTGAGTTCCTGCCCGGGCACATGTTTCTGCCTGCTTTCAAGGATGGATCTGTGTGGTGGGTGCCCTCCCCACCCATGTGTGCCAGTGCTGCAGGTGGCCTGTGCTGGCCATTGCTTGCTGTGTGCTGTTGGGAGCCTCAGGGCATTGTGGATCTAAACTGGCTGAGTTGCCAGCAAAATATTGCCAGCAATCTTGATGGAAATAGGAAGAATGGGCTGCAGCCTGGTCCCATGTCACCCAGGTTTAAGGAGCACGACGAGTCTGCCAGAGCAGCAGCCTGCAGCTGACCGTTTTTCTCTCAGAGGATGACGGCCGAGGCGCATCGACGTGTGGTAGTGGAGTACCTGCGGGCTGTCATGCAGAAGCGCATCTCATTCCGGAGTGCCGAGGAGCGCAAGGAGGGCGCTGAGAAGATGGTCAGGGAGGCCGAGCAGCTCCGCTTCCTGTTCCGGAAGCTGGCTTCAGTGAGTGTCCCAGGAAGTCTGTCGAGCTCATGGCAGGTGCCATGCATAGGTTCTGGTCCTTCTCTGTCTGGCTTTCAGTTTCCAGCCCCAAGCCATTTTAGGCCAGTAGGTAGGAACCAGTTGCATTAGCAGGAAGGCAGTTCTTCCTCCCTAGGGACGGTGGGACACAGCCCACCTGGCTTCGTGGTTGAGAGACACATTAGCACAGAGGCCACTGTTGGCTTCCTAGCAGCCGTGACTCGATGGTACAATGCTCCGTTCCCATCCTCTGCCCTTGCCTGTGACCTGTTCTATACTATGCTGGTTGCCACCTGGTCTGCAGCCCAGGATGTGACCATGCACTCCTCACCCCAGGCTCCCCAGCTGCATGAGCAAGCCAAGTAGTCACACAAGCTCAGCTCCCCTTTGGAATGAACCTTGAGGTGTTCACAGAAAGAGCAAGGTGTTGGCCAGGAGAGGGGGTGGGAGGTGTCAGGCCAGCCTCTGTTCCTGCAGCCAAGGGCTGCCTTCACCCTGCTGCTGTTTTCCAGGGGTTTGGCGAAGATGTGGATGGTCACTGTGACACCATCGTTGCTGTGGCTGAGGTTATTAAGTTGACGGACCCTTCCCTGCTCTACCTGGAAGTCTCGACCCTGGTCAGCAAATATCCAGACATCAGGTAATAGCTGTGCACCTTCCTGTTTGAGCTGGGGAGCGGCTGCCTTGCCCAGTGTCACTGGGAAGAGGAGGAACACATACTTGTCCAACTGGGTGCCTGAGGGAGGTGGCCAGGGCACCAGTGTGTCCTCTGCCTAATGCCCCTTGCCTAAGCCGAGGCCCACATATTCCTGTGTGGCCCATCCCTGATGCTGTGGGGCAGAGGCTGTGGAAAATGTTCCAGCTGGACGCTTCAGAGGATTGTGGGGTAGGGAAGGCTGGGGTCATGTGCGTAGCCCAAAAGGGCTAGGTTATATCCGTCCTGTGGTGCTTTGGGGATCTAAGAAAGAAAGCCCACCTGCCATACATGGCCCAGACACTTTTCCTGCACACGTGATCTTGTTGGTCCCCAGCCTCAGGCGGAGGAGGGGGAGGACCTTCCACCTTGAAGCCAAGTACAGCTGACTCCGTTGAGGCCCCTCCTCTCACTGCCGCAGCTCTGTTGCAGCAAGAACCCCCTGGGGTCCCCCTAGTTAGCAGTTTTAAGCCACCAGTTACAGATGCAGCCTTTGGCACCTGTGGTTGGAGAGACTACCACCAGCTGAGACTCAGTTTCTCTGAGAAGGAAACGCTGCCCTTTGTCTGGGGCCTGAGCAACTGCCCTGTGGGAGCAAGGGGGGGTGGAGCAGGTACAGGCTGACCCCTAGAGACAACTATGTGGGGGACAAGGGAGGACAGAGTGGGACAGACTGACCCCTGTCCAACCCACAGAGACGACCACATTGGTGCACTGCTGGCCGTTCGAGGAGATGCCAGCCGGGACATGAAGCAGACCATAATTGAGACGCTGGAGCAGGGCCCTGCACAGGCAAACCCCAGCTACGTGCCCATCTTCAGGGAGATCACCGTGCCGAGTCTGAATGTGGCCAAGCTCCTCAAGTAGCTGCATTGTCCTGGCCTGTGCACGTCACTGTGGCTTCATCTCTTTACCCTCACACACATTAAAACAAATCCTACTCCAGGCCACGTTTGGTGGTCAAGGTGACATGTACTTGTCTGCTCTGGTGCCCGGATGCACATGATGTGAAGTGCTGGGGCGTGATTTTGTTGTGGGTGTTCTACCCCAGGAACATGCTCTGTGAGGACTCTTCTGCCAATGAGACCCTCTTGTGGCTTGTGGTGGGAAGGTGTGGTGGGTGTCCCCTGGTTCTCCCGGGGTCTGGTCTACCTGTGTGGGAAGGTGTGGTGGGCATCCCTCATTGTCCCCACGTGGAAAGGTTTTACCCTGGCCTTCCTGAAGGTGATTGACTGGTTCCTCAGTCCTGTACATAGGAAAAATCAGCTGCTGGTCCCAGTTAGCCTGCCCAGTGGTCAGAGCCCGCATGGGCATGCTACCAGGTCAGGTGAGCCAGTCATGTGGGATGAGCATGTCCTGAGTGCTGGTTTTGATAAAGGCATGTATGAAAATCAGTGTCTGGAATACATCTCTGGGTCCGTGAGTCACTTATTCTTGGTGCAGAGTCCCTAAAATTCTTTTTCCCTGCATAGCTGCCCCTCTACAGCCTCACCTCTGCTGGCAGCACCCTCTGCATGTTCATCTTCAACGTTACTTGAAAGGATGGCAAGCCTTGTGTCCTTGCTGTCCCTGTGCCATTGTCTGAGAGCCAGCTGCCCACTGCTCAGCACAGCAGCATTGCCACCAGCCCTTCACATGGAGCGGTCACCCACCCTCATCACAGAGCCTGGGAGGCTGGGCTGTGGGCATCTCACCTCTGGAGGGGACTGTGGGCCTTGCATGGGAGAGTGCTGTTCCTCTCTCACAAAGGCAGAGCTGTATTCCGCTTTTATTCCATTCTAACAAGATGTGGGAAATTCGCAGGCCTTGTTTGTTTGAAAGAATCAAAACCTAAGTGGAATCCGATAACTGAACGTGGAGGGTTATGGAAGATACGGCCTTCCTGGCTGCATTCAGCAAGCCTGTGCCCTTGAGTGCCTGCCTGCATGCCTTCAAGGGTGTGTCCTATGCTGGTGAAGTCTCAGCATATGTGAGCCTCTTCACGCCCTTACAGGAATGAAGGACACTCCTATCCCACTGAGAGTCCTGAACCCAGGCTGCCGTGGGTGTCCAGGTGCATGTTCAGAACAGCAGTGTGCCCACATGGCACCCGCTGTCCCTGCTACTGTTGCTCTTCAGGACCCCTGAAGGCTAAGCATTTGACTCCTAGCTCTGCCTGCAGACACAAGGTGTGAGCAGTTTTTCCAACAGCAGGACAGTGTGATTTTTGGAGGTGGGATGCTGGCTGGGGTCTGCCGGAAGCCATGGGTGGCACCAGACCACCCACATCCTTCTGGGTGGGCAGTATTCATCCTGACACTGGGGCCAGCCCTCTCCTGGCCACTCGGTGGAGAATGCCCGCATACAGGCCTGGACAGGCAGCACTCAGCCAAGAGCCCAGCCGCCCCACCAAAGGCCAGTGTCTGCTTCCTGCCCAGGAGTCTGGCTTCTGAGTGCCAGCTGGGGAAAGGCACCCGGAGGGAGCTTGGGAGGCTCCTACAGCATGCCCACTCATCTTGGGATCATACTCCACCCAGGCAGGGGTCCTCCGTTAGTGAGGGAATTCCACAGCAGCAGAATTCCTTGATTCTAGGTCATATCGGTGGGCAGAAGCCAAGGACGTATTCCTAGGTTGCTCATGAGACCAGAGCCTCTCGCATTCCCATCCTCCTTTCATGTCTGTACAGTGCACATTCCAGCTGCTTCCTGTAACCTGCACACCCCAAAATCTGTCAGGAAGAGGCTGGTGGGCAAGGCCCCCTCTGTTCAAAAGAATGGACGAACATCCAGGCACATACCTGGGGCACCGCAGCCCAGCTGCCCACACCCCAAGCCAAGGGGAAACTAGAGAAATGGCCACCTCTGCTCACACCTCTTCCTCATTGTGATAGGCAGAGTTATAACCCCCCCAAAGAGAAGTCAAGGCCTGTCACAGTATCTTAGTGTAAGTGGAAACGGTGGTACCTGATGGGGATAGGGGGAAGGGCAGAGGCCTCTTGCAGCCACTGGAGCCAGGAAGAGCCCAGAGAGGACTCCCCCCGCCCCTTCTGCTGCACTGCCTCCAGGCCTGCAGGAGTGACCTGGGAGCCCCCAGTCTGTGGTTCTGGTTCACTCACATTCACTATTATATCTTTGAGGTGGCTGTGAATTTACCACTTACATGTCTCTTATAATCAGTGTCTGTGGACTCTGCTATGCAATTTTTATTAATAAAATTTAAAAGTGCGTCTGACACCTAGATCTTATATCTGACATGCTGGAGGCTCCACCTACAAATGTGGCAGGTGCACCCATACCCCTGCCTCTGTACCATCCTCATCTCAACCTGCAAGGACCTTGTTGGCCACCAGGCTCTGAAGGCTGATATTCCTGGCATCTCAGCCTGTGCCCAGCCACTCTGGTGCCTCAGGTGCCACCTCCTCCCACTCAGGCCCAGTGGATGCTGTTTCAGCTGCCCATGGCCCAGTCACTGCCCAGATACAGACCCCTCTTTGGCATCTGAGAGAATCTGACAGGCATCCTCTGAAGGGGGATGCTAGTGCCCAGCGCTCACTCTGCCCAGTACCTTGGACCACTTCACAGCTGTGCCATACAACATGCTCCCTCCAGCCAGGGGTGCTTCACAGCAGGGTGGAAACACCACACATAGATCATGTTGGTGTTCATGCAGAACATCTGCTCCTTAAGTCCTCATTTATAAACAGAGTTTGCACCCAAAATGCCTTGAAATGATTTTAATAGAATTGGTCAAGCAGTTGGTTATTGCATGGTGTTGGTGACAGGCTCCCTGTTTGGCACAGTAGGAGGGGTGTTTTAAGGCACATCATCCTGTGATCAGAGGTACACAAAAGTTTGATTACATTCACAACATTGACATACAGTTTTCACCACTCAGAAAATACACTTCCAGTTTTGACAAAACTCTTTAACAAGATCAGTGATATACAGAATATTGAACACCATAACAAAATTTTCAATAAAATGCAGGTAAGAAAAAGAAATTTCCTAAATTTTTGTACTTCATAGTACCACAAAATAGAAGTTCTTTATTAAATAAATAATGTTATAACAACAGTTTTCCTAAGGAAATACATCCACAGGACTTTGCCTTCTGCTTTAAAACAGTGGAGAGGAATGGCAGGATTTCTATCTGATTTGCAGCCACAGTGCCGGTCACAGCATGGGGGCATCTGAGCACACATGGTGAGCTTCTGGTAGCAACCCCTTCTTGCCTGGAGTCTGGCTCCATCATGATTGTGTCCCGCTGTGCTGATCACACAAGCCGAGCAACATGGTGGACCTTGGTAGATGGAGTGTCAAGGAGGTGTCGGGCAGGCTCACACCCTGGCTGCTGGCTTTGGTGTTGGTCCAGTGCACGGCCGCGGGGTGCCATCTGAGCTGCTGGTCTGGCTTGGCTTCTGACTCTGCCATGGAGATCAGTCCCCATGCCCAGCAGTCCAGGGGTGTTAAGGCAGCTTCATCAGAGGGCAGGCGCAGGGGGCTTGGCTGCAGGGGTATAGTGGGTGCTGATGGGCTTTTCTCAGAGAACCCTTGGGTGGCCCAGTTTGCCCCCAACAAGCACCAACAGTGCTGTCTGGGCTGTCTGTGGGATCACTGCTGGGCCAGCTATGCTATGCCCTGGCAGAACTTGGCCTCAGAGTGGATAAAGATGGCTGCAAGCCAGACACTTGCCCCGACCACTGAGAAGGGGCTAGGGTTAAGTGATGAGCTGATGTTTCCATCACAGAAAGCTGCTCGAGGAGAAGCCATGGAGGCTTGAACAAACTGGCATGGTCTTCATCTGTTTCTCCAAACAGTAAAGCTGTCAATAGGAAATGGTATGTTTTCCTGCCTAAGAAAAGACCTGATGTGCAGTGACAGTGCACACTGCTGCTGACCTCCTGGACTTGTGAATGTTCACTTCTATCCTGAGACATGGGCTTTTAGTTTTCCTGAGCAGAAAGCCGAGTGGTTTCAGGAAAGCTTCAGGGGTGGGTTTTGGCTGAGTCCACTTTAGTCCCTCTGGTCTTCCTCAAGTGAGACCTGCACTGCAGCCTGAAGGGGGGGTGGGGCAGAAGGAAACACAGGCCCCGCTCAGGTTCTGTGGAATGGAAGCAGCATTCCTCTCACCACACCAGGAACAGAGATGGAAGGAGTCCATGACAGGCACAGGATGTCCAACCAAGCCCTCCTTGGAGCCACCCATGGCCCTGAGTGCTCTTCTGCCACTGTGTCAAGTGGGCACAACTAGCTCTGATTCTGAACAAAGGGTGCCTGTGAGGCCCCCTCTATGCCCCAGCCCAGCCAGGCCATCTGCAGCCACCCCAGCAAAAGAAGGAAAAGCTCAAGTCAGAGATCTTTCTGATGGGACAGGACAGTCCTAAGGGAGCTTCAGTGGGGGAGGACAGGACAAAGGCTGGACTGGAGGAGCCCAAACACAAAAGCGAACAAAGATATTCCTGGGATTGCATCTACAGGCCACGTGGCCACCGGGAAGTTTGGAGACCTGGCAAATGGATATGAAGGGGTCAGAGGGGCTTGGGCCCCCACTCTGGGACTGGGAGATCACTGAGGGTGGTGAGAACCAGCTGGGGGCGGAGGCGGGCGGAACTGGTCAGGGCCTATCACTTGGGCAAATCTCCTTTTGTTCATGACCTAGTGGCCTGGCGTGATAAAGATGGTCACAGGCCTCTGAGGCCTTTCTTGTCCCTGAGTCACGGTGACAACGAAAGATCAACATAGAAGTGCCGCTGGGCTGGAAGCGGCAAGCGGGCAGCAGCCCCAAATGGAGCACCTGCCAGACCTCCCGACTGGAGGCCAGGTCTGCACCTGGGCGAGGTGGGTGTAGGCGCCTCGGGGCGCCAGGTTGGCAGGGCGGGGAGACCCTGGGGGCCAGGCCACCCTCGGGGAGGCCGGGGCGGCGGTCTTGGTTACAGCGGCGTCTCCTCCTGCTCAAGCACGTGTGGCGGCAACTCGGCGGGGCCAGGAGGCTGCAGCGATGCGAGCTTGAGCAACGCAGGGCGGCGGCGTGTGCGGGGCCGCTGGAACGAGCGCCGGCTGTGCACCCGGCGCGCTGCCGCTGACCGCGCGTGCGCGCTGGGCAACGCCCTGCGCTCCGGCCCCGCCCCCTGCGTGGGACCCGCCCCTGGCTCGCGGGCGGATAGCGCTGCGGCCACCGATTCCGTGTTCTCGGGCGGCGCGGGGCTTGCAGTGCGCGGCCGCGGGTGCCGCGCCGGCAACTGGGGCTGCTGGGCAGTGGCGGGCGACCCCCGTCGTGGAGATGAGTGTCCTATCAGCGGCGTGTCGGAGCCAGTGTCACCTGCAGAGGACAAGGAGGCATAAGCTGCTACTGGGCACCCATGGCCCCTGGCCCAGATAGTCATGCCTTCTGCCCAATGTTCCTTTCCCCTTGACTTTTCTGTTCCTGAGGTGCCACCCCAGGGCTTGTTCAAAAGAAGGTGCAGAGGGTAGCACACACCCCCCCATTCACTGTATGCTGTCCCCTAAAAAGTAAGCAGGGGGTTAGGGGATACTAGCCACCAATAAGCATCCCTGGGCCAGGATGGCTGGACCACTTGGAATGTTCTGTGACAATTTGAGGCCATGCCCTTGATAGGTTCCCCTTCTACAGAGGGATATCTAGCATCATGCCCACCCCCTGCAGCTGCTCTGCTCAGGAAACTTGGCCAGAAGCTTCTCTGAGTACCTTGCTCTAAGGACAAATGGGATTCCAGGATGACACTGGGGGGGGGGGGGAAGCAGAAGGTTCAGAGGCAAAAGCAAGGAGCAGGGGAGGGACAGCAGGTGGGATCATCACTGCTATGCCTGTTTCTAGTCTCAGTGGAAGCCCACTTATTGCATGAGTCCAAAACCCATTCCTGAAGCAGGGCCCACTGGAGGAACCCCAGCAGTAGGGTGTGGGACAAAACTCTTGCAGAGGTATCAGGTAGACTGGTAAAACCCTCTGCAAGTGTCCACCAGAGAAAACACATCCTCTTTGTTTGGCAGGGAGCTGAAACCTGGTCTGGGCCAGACCCACCCATAGTAACAGTTCTACCTGCCTGTCAGGCACCCCAAGGAAAGTTGGAATACCTCAAGACACTGCCCAGGGTGGGTATCACCCTGTTCACTGCAGACAGTAATGGGCAACAGGGAGAGGGCTCTTTGCGTATCTGTTCATCAGGCACCTTGCTCCCCACCCAGCATCAAGGGCACCCCACCTCCTGCAAGATAAGGCCCACAAGGCTGCTGTTAGCCAGACGGTGGGCAGAACCCCCTAGCTGCTGGTCAGCCCTCATAGGGTTCCCTCCTAAACCCTGCCCCTGCACCCCTCTGTCGGAGGTGGGAGAGGCCCACTGCCTCTCTCCTGGATGAGCTGGCAGCTGGACTCTTCCCCAGGCCATGGGCCTTTGGATCAAAATGGACATCTCCTTCATACACAGGCCTGGTCAGCTCAGGAGTGAGATTCAGGGCTGATCATGCAGATACAGCTTATGATCCAACTGACAATCTAAAAGCAAATTCTCACAAGACAGCATGACAACATAAATCCAGTCAATCCTCACACCCTCTGGATCCCTAAATCTTAGCTGGAGAAGCAGAGGATCAGATGAGTATTGTTCATCAGCATCTCCTAAGAAATGTGCTGTAAGTCAGACTCCCGTAGGGACAGGCTCTAGAGAAGGAAGAAAACTGCAGGAGAGAGCTTGTGAAAGTGCAGGTCCAGGAGAGAGACTTGGAGGAAACAGCTGAGAACAGAGAGGGTGTTAGGAGCCAGGGTGACAGTTACATGTGTGTGGACTCAGGGAGGGCAGCGTGGGGCCGTTCCTCAGTGCCATCAGCCAGCAGGAAGGAGTCCACTGACTTGTTGCTGAGGCGTAAGGGTGTCAGGCGCCGGAAGTTGCCAGGAGAGTGGGGGATCTGTACTCGGGCCCTCTGGGAGGGTACCACAGTCTCGCCAGGGGACAGCCAGGGCGGCACCCTGGCCAGGATGCTTGGGTCCAGGTCCTCATCGGGGGAGAACACAGGGTTGTCAATTCCTAGGAAAAAGGGCAGCAGCTGATCAGCCTCCCAGGAGCACCCCCATCGGCAGCAGGGGCAAGGCACTGCCTGGTGCAGCCGCCAGCTTGTCCTGTAGCAGCCACCTGCAAGGTCACCTGGAAGGTCAGTCCTTTTAGCCTGCAGCTCTCACACCAGGCCTTCCCTGCACACTATAAACCCACACACTATAAGCAGGTGAGCCTGCCTTCTGCCCTGGGGAGGGTCCTTTGGATAGAGGGGCCGTGCTGGGAGCCTGTGCCTGGGCCTCCAGGAGCAGCCAAGCCTCCCAAGGCAGGGGTTCCTCCTCCACTGACAGAACTCACTTCACCCCACCTTAGTCCCTCTCTCACCTGCTTGGGAGTCAGAGGCAGTATCCTTTGTGACGCTGGCCAGGAATTCGATGCCCCCACTGGTCTCCTCTGCTTCATAGTCGGGGGCCTCCTCAGGGTCTGAAAGCTCCAAATCTATGGGGCAGGGGACAAGAAGAGGGTGAAGGTGGCCTGTGTCCCCTGTGGGTTGTCATTGAGGCTCAGGGATGGCTGGACATCCCAGTGGCCAGGTCTCTGTGCCAAGGAAGAACCATCTCTGTTGCCCCCTTTCATGACCCCAACCCTACCTGGACTTCTGAAAATTTCATTGGAGAGGGGCTGGAACCGTCCGGTTGGCAGCAGGGAGGGAGGGGGCCCGGGTCTGATGGTCTCGGGAGGAGAGGGAAGGAGTGCCAGGCCTGGCAGCAGCCTCGCAGCCCAGGGGACTGCTAGGGTTGCAGTGGGGGTGAAGCGCCAGGGGAGGGGGGGCAACGGGGCA